ACCCATGCGTCCCGTATTCTTTTGTATATGTATGTGGGTCTATCCGTATCCCTTGTTATGCATTTGTGTCTATACAGTTAATATATGTGATTCTAAGCGTCGGATCCCTGTTATGTATGTGGACCTATGCGTCCGTATTCTTGTCTTATGTATGTGGGTCTATGCATCCATATCCCTTGTTATGCATTTGTGTCTATACGGTTAATATATGTGATTCTATGTGTCCGGATCCCTCATGTATGTGGACCTATGTTCTTGTCCGTATTTGTCTTATGTATGTGGGGTCTATGCGTCGGATCCTGTGTATGCGGACCTCCCATATTCTTGTCTCTTATGCATTTTGTGTCTTGTTACATGGTCTATGGTTATATATGTGATTCTATGCGTCCGGATCCCTGTTATGTATGTGGACCTTCGTCTGTATTCTTGTCTTTATGTATGTGGGTCTATACATCCATATCCCTGTTATGCATTTGTGTCTATACGGTTATTATATGTGATTCTATGTGTCCGGATCCCCTGTTATGTATGTGGACCTAACAGTCCGTATCTTGTCTTATGTATGTGGGTCTATCGTCCGTCCTGTTATCATTTATTATGTTAATATATGTGATTCTATGCGTCGGATCCCTGTTATTATGTGGACCTATCTCAATTGTCCGGATCCCCCCTTGTTATGTATGCGGATTCCGTCCAGGATCCCTGTTGTCCGTATTCTTGTCTCTTATGTATGTGGGTCTATGCATCCGTATCCCTTGTTATGCATTTGTGTCTATACGGGTTATATATACGTGATTCTGCGTCGGATCCCTGTTGTATGCAGTTTTGCATTATATTCTTGTCTCCTATGTATGTGGGTATGTGTCTGTATCCCTGTTGCATTTTGTGTCTATATGGTTGTATATGTGATTCTATGCGTCCGATCCCTGTTATGTATGCGGACCTATGCGTCCGTATTCTTGTCTTATGTATGTGGGTCTATGCGTCCGTATCCCCTTGTTATGCATTTGTGTCTATACGGTTATGCATGCGTTATATGTCGGATTCTATGCGTCCGATCCCTTGTCTTATGTGGGTCTATGCATGGATCCCTCCATGCGTCCGGTTAATATTGTGATTCTATGCATCCGGATATGTATTCATGCATCCGTATTCCCCTTGTTATGCATTTGTGTCTTATACGGTTAATATATGTGATTCTTTATCCGGTTCTGTTATGTATGCGGATCCGTATTCTGTGTATGCATCGCGGACTATACGGTTAATATGTTCCTATCGTCGGATCCTGTTATATACGGACTATACGTCCATATTCTTGTCTTATGTATGTGGGTCTATACATCGTATCCCCCTGTTATGCATTGTGTCTATACGGTTAATATATGTGATTCTATACGTCCGATCCCTGTTGGTGTATGCGGACCTATGCGTCCATATTCTTTGTCTTATGTATGGGTCTATGCATCCATCCCCTTGTTATGCATTTGTGTCTATACGGTTAATATATGTGATTCTATGCGTCCGGATCCCTATTATGTATGCGGACCTATGCGTCCGTATTCTTGTCTTATGTATGTGGTTTTATGCATCCGTATCCCCTGGTTATGCATTTGTGTCTATACGGTTATGGATTCTATATGTGATTCTATGCGTCGGACCTATGCGTCGTATGTATTCTTGTCCATATTCTTGTCTATGGGTCTATGCATGTCCCTTATGCATTTGTGTCTATACGGTTAATATGGCGGATTCTACGTCCGGATCCTGTTATGTATGTGGACCTGTGTCATTATTCTTATGGTGTATGTGGGTCTATGCATCCGTATCCCCTTTGTTATGCATTTGTGTTCATACGGTTAATATATGATTCTATGCGTCCGGATCCCTTGTTATGTATGGGGACCTAATAAATCCATTCTTGTCTTATATGTGGGTCTGCATCCGTATCCTTGTTATACATTTGTGTCTATATGGTTAATATATGTGATTCTATGCGTCGGATCCCTGTTATGTATGTGGACCCATGCGTCCGTGGTATTCTTGTCTTATGTATGTGGGTTCATGCATCCGTATCCCCTTTGTTATGCATTTGTGTTCATACGGTTAATATATGTGATTCTATGCTTCCGGATCCTGTTATGTATGTGGGACCCATGCATCCCGTATTCTTGTCTCTTATGTATGTGGGTCTATGCATCCGTATCCACTTGTTACATTTTGTGTCTATACGGTTAATATATATTCTATACATGTCCGATCCCTGTATTATGTATGCGGACCTATGCGTCCGTATTCTTGTCTTATGTATGGGTCCTATGCATCCGTATCCCCTTGTTATGTATTTGTGTCTATGCACGGATCCCTATTGTATACGGATCCATGTGATGTGGGTCTATGCATGTCCGATCCCTGTTATGCATTTATGCGGACCTATGCGCGATCCCTGTTATGTATGGACCTTGTATTCTTGTCTTGTATGTGGGTCTATGCATCCGTATCCCTTGTTATGCACGTCTATACGGTTATATATATGTGATTCTATACGTCCGGATCCCTGTTATGTATGGACTCGTCCGTATTCTTGTCTTATGTATGGGTCTATGCATCCGTATCCCCTTGTTATGCATTTGTGTCTAGCATGGTTAATATATGTGATTCTATGCGTCCGGGATCCCTGTTATGTATGTGGACCTATGTATCCGTATTCTTCTCTTATGTATGTGGTCTATGTAATCCGCATCCCTTGTTATGCATTTGTGTCTATAATGGTTAATATATGCAATTCTATGCGTCGGATCCTTGTTATGTATGTGGGACCCCATGCGTCCATATTTTTGTCTTATGTTGGGATATGCATCCGATCCCCTTGTTTATTTGTGTCTATTTATTGTCTCCGGATCCCTGTTAATATATGTGCCCGTATTCTTGTTCTATAGTCCGGATCCCTGCATTTGTGTATGTGGACCTATGATCCCGTGACCCATGCGTCCATTCTTGTCTTATGTATGTGGGTCTATGCATCCGTATCCCCTTGTTATGCATTTGTGTCTATACGGTTAATATATGTGATTCTATGCGTCGGATCCCTGTTATGTATGCGGACCTATGCGTCCGCATTCTTGTCTTATGTATGTGGGTCCTATGCATCCATATCCTGTTATGCATTTTGTGTCTATAGGTTAATATATGTAATTCTATGCGTCCGGATCCCTGGTTATGTATGTGGACCTATGCCGTCCGTATTCTTGTCTTATGTATGTGGGTCTATGCATCCGTATCCTTGTTATACATTTGTGTCTAACGGATTTAATATATGGATTCTATGCGTCCGGATCCCTGTTATGTATGTGGACCTATGCGTCCGTATTCTTGTCTTATGTATGTGGGTCTATGCATCCATGTCCTTGTTATGCATTTGTGTCTGGTTAATATATGGTTTATTCTATGTGATTCGCGTCCGGATCCTGTTATGTATGTGGACCTGCTGCGTCCGTATTCTTGTCTTATGTATGTCATGCATCCGGGTCCCTTGTTATCATTTGTGTCTATACGGTTAATATGTAATTCTATGCGTCCGGATCCCTGTTATGTATGTGGACCTATGCGTCCGTATTCTTGTCTTATGTATGGGGTCTATGCATCCGTATCCCCTTGTTATGCATTTGTGTCTATACGGTTAATATGTGATTCTATGCGTCCGGATCCCTGTTATGTATGTGGACCTATGTCCGTATTCTTGTCTTATGTATGTGGGTCTATGCATCCGTATCCCCTTGTTATGCATTTTGTCTATGTTATATATTGATTCTGCGCGTCCGGATCCCTATACGGGACCTATGCGTCCGTATTCTTATATGTATGTGGGTCTATGCGTATCGGATCCGGTTGTATATGTGATTCTATGCGTCCGGATCCTTGTTATTGTATGTGGACCATGCGTCCGTATTCTTGTCTTATGTATGTGGGTCTATGCATCCGTATGTCCTGTTATGCATTTGTGTCTAAACGGTTAATATATGTGATCTATGCGTCGGATCCCTGTTATGTATGTGGACCTATGCGTCCGTATTCTTGTCTTATGTATGTGTAGGGTCTATGCGTCCGTATCCCCTTGTTATGCATTTTGTGTCTATACAGTTAATATATGTGATTCTGCGTCCGGATCCTGTTATGTATGCGGACCTATGCGTCCGTATTCTTGTCTTATGTATGTGGGTCTATGCGTCCGATCCCCTGTTATGCATTTGTGTCTATACGGTTAATATATGTGATTCTATGCGTCGGATCCCTGTTATGTATGCGTGACCTATGCGTCCGTATTCTTTCTTATGTATGTGGATCTATCATCGTATCCCTTGTTATGCATTTGTGTCTATCCCGGTTATGTATGCGGACCCTATGCGTCCGGATCCCTGGGTCTATGCATGTGGACCATTTATGTATGTGATTCTATTGTCTTATGTATGTGGACCCTATGTATCCGTATCCCTTGTTATGCATTTTGTTATGTTTGTGTCTATACGGTTAATATATGTGATTCTATGCGTCCGGATCCCTGTTATGTATGCGGACCTATCGTCCATTATTCTTGTCTTGTGTATGTGGGTCTATATCCCATATCCCCTTGTTATGCATTTGTGTCTAATATATGTGATTCTATGCGTCGGATCCCTGTTATGTATGTGGACCCTATGCGTCCGTATTCTTGTCTTATGTATGTGGGTCTATGCATCGTATCCCCTTGTTATGCATTTTGTGTCTATACCGGTTAATATATGTGATTCTATGCGTCGGATCCTGTTATGTATGTGGACCCCATGCGTCCGTATTCTTGTCTTATAATATGTGGGTCTGTATATATCCCTTGTTATGCATTTGTGTCTATATGGTTAATATATATGTGATTCTATGCGTCCGGATCCCTGTTATGTATATGTGGAACTATACGTCCGTATTCTTGTCTTGTATGTATGTGGGTCTATGCGTCCATATCCCTTGTTATGCATTTTATTGTGTCTATACGGTTAATATATGTGATTCTATGTGTCCGGATCCCTGTTATGTATGCGGACCTCTGCGTCCGTATTCTTGTCTTATGTATGTGGGTCTATGCATCCGCATCCCCTTGTTATGCATTTGTGTCTATACGGTTAATATATGTGATTCTATACGTCCGGATCCCTGTTATTATGTATGCGGACCTATGCGTCCGTATTCTTGTCTCTTATGTATGTGGGTTATGCATCCATATCCTTATGCATTTGTGTCTATACAGTTTAATATATGTGATTCTATGCGTCGGATCCCTGTTATGTATGCGGACCTATGCGTCCCGTATTCTTGTCTCTTATGTATGTGGGTCTATGCATCCGGATCCCCTTGTTATGCATTTTGTGTCATATACGGTTAATATATGTGATTCTATGCGTCCGGATCCCTGTTATGTATGCGGACCCTATGCGTCCGTATTCTTGTCTTATGTATGTGGGTCTATGTATCCGCATCCTTGTTATGCATTTGTGTCTATACGGTTAATATATGTGATTCTATACGTCCGGATCCCTATTTATGTATGCGGGACCTATGCGTCCCGTATTCTTGTCTTATGTATGTGTGGTCTATGCATCCGCATCCCCTTGTTATGCATTTGTGTCTATACGGTTAATATATGTGATTCTATGCGTCCGGATCCCTGTTATGTATGCGGACCTATGCATCCGTATTCTTGTCTTATGTATGTGGGTCTATGCATCCGTATCCCCTTGTTATGCATTTGTGTCTATACAGTTAATATGTATTCTATGCGTCGGATCCCTGTTTGTATGTGGACCTATGCGTCCATATTCTTGTCTTATGTATGTGGGTCTGTGCATCCGGATCCCCTTGTTATGCATTTGTGTCTATACGGTTACTTATATGTGATTCTATGCGTCGGATCCCTGTTATGTATGTGGACCTGTGTCCGTATTCTTGTCTTATGTATGGGTCTGTGCATCTGCATCCCCTTGTTATGCATTTGTGTCTACATGGTTAATATATGTGATTCTATACGTCCGGATCCCTGTTATGTATGTGGACCTATGCGTCCGTATTCTTGTCTTATGTATGTGGGTCTATGCATCGTATCCCTGTTATGCATTTGTGTCTATACGGTTAATATATGTGATTCTGTCGTCGGATCCTTGTTATGTATGGACCTATGCGTCCGTATTCTTGTCTTATGTATGTGGTCTGCATCAGCATCCGTATCCCCTTAATTTATGCGGATTTGTGTCTATACGGTTTATATATGTGGGTCTATGTCCGGATCCCATTGTTATGGTTAATATATGCGTCCGTATTCATGTTGTATTTATTCTTGTCTTATGTGGGTCTATGCATCCGTATCCCCTTGTTATGCATTTGTGTCTATACGGTTAATATATGTGATTCTATGCGTCCGGATCCCTGTTATGTATGTGGACCTATGCGTCCGTATTCTTGTCTTATGTATGTGGGTCTATGCATCCGTATCCCTTGTTATGCATTTGTGTCTATACGGTTAATATATGTGGATTCTATGCGTCCGGATCCCTGTTATGTGTATGTGGACCTATGCGTCCGTATTCTTGTCTTATGTATGTGGGTCTATGCATCCGTATCCCCTTGTTATGCATTTGTGTCTATAATGGTTAATATATGTGATTCTATGCGTCCGATCCCTGTTATGTATGCGGACCTATGCGTCCGTATTCTTGTCTTATGTATGGGTCTATGCATCCGTATCCCCTTGTTATGCATTTGTGGTCTATACGGTTAATATATGTGATTCTATGCGTCCGGATCCCTGTTATGTATGTGGACCTATGCGTCCGTATTCTTGTCTTATGTGGGTCTATGCATCCGTATCCCCTTGTTATGCATTTGTGTCTATACGGTTAATATATGTGATTCTAGCAATGTCCGGATCCCGTGTATGCGGACCTATGTTATTCTTGTATGTGTGGGTCTATGCATCCGTTCCTGTTATGCATTTTGTCTATACGGTTAATATATGTGATTCTATGTCCTGTTATGTATGCGGGTCTATGCGTCCGTATTCTTGTCTTATGTATGTGGGTCTATATCCCCTTGTTATGCATTTGTGTCTATACGGGTTAATATATGTGATTCTATGCGTCCGGATCCCTGTTATGTATGCGGACCTATGCGTCCGTATTCTTGTCTTATGTATGTGGGTCTATGCGTCCGGATCCCCTTGTTATGCATTTGTGTCTATACGGTTAATATATGTGATTCTATGCGTCCGATCCCTTGTTATGTATGGACCTATGCGTCCGTATTCTTGTCTCTTATGTATGTGGGTCTATGCATCCGTATCCCCTTGTTATACATTTGTGTCTATACGGTTAATATATGTGATTCTATGCGTCGGATCCCTGTTATGTATGTGGACCTATGCGTCCGTATTCTTTGTCTTATGTATGTGGGGTCTATGTCGTATCCCTTGTTATGCATTTGTGTTCATATGGTTAATATATGTGATTCTATGCGTCCGATCCCTGTTATGTATGTGGAACTATGCGTCCGTATTCTTGTCTTATGTATGTGGGTCTATGCATCCGTATCCCCTTGTTATGCATTTGTGTCTATACGGTTAATATATGTGATTCTATGCGTCCGGATCCCTGTTATGTATGCGGACCTATGCGTCCGTATTCTTGTCTTATGTATGTGGGTCTATGCATCCCGTATCCCTTGTTATGCATTTGTGTCTATACGGTTAATATATGTGATTCTATGCGTCCGGATCCCTGTTATGTATGCGGACCTATGCGTCCGTATTCTTGTCTTATGTATGTGGGTCTATGCATCCGTATCCCCTTGTTATGCATTTGTGTCTATACGGTTAATATATGTGATTCTATGCGTCTGTTATATGTGGGATCCTATTCTTGTTATGTATGTGGACCTATGCGTCCGTATTTTCTTGTCTTATGTATGTGATTCTATGTGTCCGTATCCCCTTGTTATGCGCATTTGTGTCTATACGGTTAATATATGTGATTCTATGCGTCCGGATCCCTGTTATGTATGCGGACCTATGCGTCCATATTCTTGTCTTATGTATGTGGGTCTATGCATCCGTATCCCCTTGTTATGCATTTGTGTCTATACGGTTAATATATGTGATTCTATGCGTCGGATCCCTGTTATGTATGCGGACCTATGCGTCCGTATTCTTGTCTTTATGTATGTGGGTCTATGCGTCCGGATCCGTATGTCCCTTGTTATGCATTTGTGTCTATACGGTTAATATATGTGATTCTATGCGTCCGATCCCTGTTATGTATGCGGACCTATGCGTCCGTATTCTTGTCTTATGTATGTGGGTCTATGCATCCGTATCCCCTTGTTATGCATTTGTGTCTATACAGTTAATATATGTGATTCTATGCGTCCGGATCCCTGTTATGTATGTGGACCTATGCGTCCCGTATTCTTGTCTTTATGTATGTGGGTCCCTATGCATCCGTATCCCTTGTTATGCATTTGTGTCGTATACGGTTAATATATGTGATTCCCATGCGTCGGATCCCTGTTATGTATGCGGACCCATGCGTCCGTATTCTTGTCTTATGTATGTGGGTCTATGCATCCGTATCCCCTTGTTATGCATTTGTGTCTATACGGTTAATATATGTGATTCTATGCGTCCGGATCCCTGTTATGTATGCGGACCTGTATGTCCGTATTCTTGTCTTATATGTGGGTCTATAATCATGTATCCCCTTGTTATGCATTTGTGTCTATACAGTTAATTTGTGATTATATGTGTCCGGATTCTGTTATGTATGCGTCGTCCGGCTATTCCTGTTATGTATGTGGACCTATGCGTCCATGTCCTATTTATGCATTTTGTGTCTTGTATGTATTCTGTGGGTCTGGATGCATCCGTATGCGTCCCTTGTTAGCCATTGCATCCGGTCCCTTGTTATGCATACGGTTATACGGTTATATGTGATTCTATGTCCCGGATCCCTGTTATGTATGTGGACCTATGCGTCCGTATTCTTGTCTTATGTATGTGGGTCTATGCATCCGTATCCCCTTGTTATGCATTTGTGTCTATACGGTTAATATATGTGGATTCTATGCGTCCGGATCCCTGTTATGTATGCGGACCTATGCGATTCTTGTCTTATGTATGTGGGTCTGTATTCCCCCTTGTTATGCTCTATGTTAATATATGTGATTCTATGCGTCGGATCCCGTATCGGACCCTTGTTATTCTTGTCTTATTTGTGTCTATACGTGTCTATAATATATGTGATTCTATGCGTCCGATCCCTGTTATGTATGTGGACCTATGCGTCCGTATTCTTGTCTTTATGTATGTGGGGTCTATGTCCGGATCCCCTTGTTATGCATTTTGTGTCTATACGGTTATTATATGTGATTCTATGCGTCCGGATCCCGAGCAGGTAGGCGGACCTATGCGTCCCGTATTCTTGTCTATGTATGTGGGTCTATGCATCCGTATCCCCTTGTTATGCATTTGTGTGTCTATATGGTTAATATATGTGATTCCTATGCGTCAGGATCCCTGTTATGTATAATGAACTATGCGTCCGTATTCTTGTGGGTTATGCATCCGTATCCCCTTGTTATGCATTTGTGTCTATACGGTTAATATATGTGATTCTATGCGTCGGATCCCTGTTATGTATGCGGACCCCTATGCGTCCGTATTCTTGTCTTATGTATGTGGGTCCATGCATCCGTATCCCCTTGTTATGCATTTGTGTCTATACGGTTAATATATGTGATTCTATGCGTCCGGATCCCTGTTATGTATGTGGACCTATGCGTCCGTATTCTTGTCTTATGTATGTGGGGTCTATGCGTCCGTATCCCCTTGTTATGCATTTGTGTCATATACGGTTAATATATGTGATTCTATGCGTCCGGATCCCTGTTATGTATGCGGACCTATGCGTCCCGTATTCTTGTCTTATGTATGTGGGTCTATGCATCCGTATCCCCTTGTTATGCATTTGTGTCTATACAGGTTAATATATATGTGATTCTATGCGTCCGGATCCCTGTTATGTATGCGGACCTATGCGTCCGTATTCTTGTCTTATGTATGTGGGTCTATGCATCCGTATCCCCTTGTTATGCATTTGTGTCTCTATACGGTTAATATATGTGATTCTATGCGTCCGGATCCCTGTTATGTATGCGGACCTATGCGTCCGTATGCATTTTGTCAGTTAATATGTGATTCTATGTCGGTCCCCTGTGCGTCCGACTATCCCCTTGTTATGTGTCTATACGGTTATATATGATTCTATGTCCGATCCTATTATGATCGGACCTGCGTCCGTATTCTTGTATGTATGGACCCATCCGTATCCCGTCCATTTGTGTCTATACGGTTAATATATGTGATTCTATGTGTCCGGTCTTATGTATGTGCGTCCTATGCGTCCGGATCCCCTCCCTTGTTATGCATTTGTGTCTATACAGTTAATATGTGATTCTATGCGTCCGGATCCCTGTGTTATGTATGCGGACCTATGCGTCCGTATTCTTGTCTTATGTATGTGGGTCTATGCGTCCGGATCCCTTGTTATGCATTTGTGTCTATACGGTTAATATATGTGATTCTATGCGTCGGATCCTGTTATGTGGTATGCGTCCGGACCTTATGTATGTGGGTCCGTGTCCATTTGTGTTATGTATATATGGGACTATGCGATCCCGTGTTGCGGACCCAGGTAATTCTTATATGTATGCGGTTCTATGAGTTCCCCTTGTTATGCATCCGTGTTATACGGTTAATAGGGATTTATGCGTCCGATCCCTGTTATGTATGCGGACCTATGCGTCCGTGTCCCTGTGTTATGTATATGGGACTATGCGTCCGTGTTCCCGGGTAATATATGCGGTTCTATGAGTTTTTCCCGGGTGCAATATCCTCGTGTTATATGTGGTCTATGCGTATCCCCTGCAATATATGCGGGTCTATCCTTAACCGTAATATATGCTGGTCTATGTGTCCGTATCCTTGTGTTAATATGTTGGTCTATATGTCCATATTTTCGTTTATGCATGTGTGTGTCTGGGTCCTTATACTCATTCTATTTATGTGGGTCTATACGTACGTATCCTCTTGTTATGCATTTGGGTCTATGCGTCCGTTTTCCTGTGTTATAGATGTGTGTCTATGCGTCTGTATCCCCGGTAAATATATGCGGGTCTATGCGTCCGTGTCCTGTGGTAATCTGTGGGTCTTTGTGTCCATATCCCCGTATTATGAATGTGGGTCTATCGGTCTGTATCCCCAGGTAATGTTTGTGTGCCTATGCGTCCGTACCACGGGTAATGCATGCAGTTCTATGCGTCCGTATTCCTGCGATATATATGTGGGTCTATGCATCCGTGTCCGCGTGTTGCATATGTTGGGTTATGCGTCCGTATCACCGGTTAAGATATGTGGGGCTATGCGTCCGGGTCCCTGTGTTATGTATGTGAGTCCATGCGTCCGTATTCCAGCGTTATATATCTGGGTCTATACATCCATTTCCCCGTGTTATATATGTGGCTCTATGCGCCCGTATGACCGGGAAATATGTACGGGTCCATGCGTGCGTATCCCCGTGTTAGATATGTGGGTCTATTCGTCCGTGTCTCTGTGTTATATATGTGGGTCTATGCGTCCGTGTCCCCGTGTTATATTTGTGGGTCTCTGCGTCGTATCTATAATATGCATAAATGCAGCAGAACTCATTGTGTCAGAAATGTCATACAGAAGCTCTGACCCAGGCACTATGTTTAGTTGACTCGATTGTGAGGCTTAAATATTAATACTAATGGCATTATTAGCCGTTTCCCTAGAAGGAAACATTTGATGTACATTGCCATTTTCTGTTGAAATTTATAATATTCTTCTGTGAAAACCAATTTTCAGGGAAATATGTTTCTCAGGGCTGTTATTGAACTTTCCAGGAATAAGCGGATTTCCCTTCGTAATTTTTTGTTTGAAGTAGTGTGGAATATCGACATTTAATTATATCCTTATTTTATCTTTAAGTTACATTTGCTATACATTTTAGTTGTTGCTGAGTTTGAAAGTCTTCCACAGATGTAGTTTCTGTTATCTCATAAAGTCTCTAACGGCTGTCAAGGAATTTCGAAGAATGTCGGTCCTTGCTAAGACCAACATGCTTCATCCGCTTGAAGCTCGCATCGATCTGAAAAAAGCGGCTGTATACAGCTGGCAGTTTAGATATTTCTTAAAAAGTTTAGTGCCATGCATTGCATATCACCTATTATGAAAAGTAAAGTGGGGATACAAGCTATCAAGATATTAATTTAAATTCATTTTGTGTCTAAGATAACTGATGATTTTCATGCCAAGGATTAAATTTTTGCAATGTAATAATATAAATGAGTAGCAAAACCCATTACATGGACAAAAAAAGAGTGATTATACTGATATTGCGAGAATTTACCCCTCGCTGTCATAGATATTTATGAACATCCGAGAAGAAGGCTGAAACAGCGAGTAACTTGCAGGACGATTTTGAGAGAATGGATTCAAAAATAAGGAATACAAAAATAATTTTGGTAAAGAGACAAGAATTATTTAGCGCAGAAAAATGAGATGGATGCTGTGGATAACCTAAATCCTGAAAATAAGTATTTATCCGAACGCCCAGGTCGTAAGAGAATGTGACACAAGGTCCAGGTTTAATGCGGGATCTGGAAAGCCGTTCAAAAATTACTGAAGCCACCGCCACACTTCCTTCTTTTGGAGATAGCCCAGACGCCGGATAATGATCCCAAGCCCATACCGAAGGGGCGTTATTGACTGAGGGAACGGCACCCTACGGATTCAGCTAATATTAATTTCAAACTACCCGGGCTGGTGTCAGGGAAATATCCTGAAAATATATGAGATAGAAAAGATAAGGTTCCTGTGACCAATTGATAAACAGCTGATTAATTGCTATATATATGACGTACGTGTATATACATATATACGTAGGTCGCTCTTTGTCATGGTCCAATGACTCTGGGAGTTATGTCGTCGGAAACTCTAAACTCCTGTTAGGATCTCCCTTGGCAACAAGATCGAAGACGAAGACCCAGACTAAGCGCGATCAACCCCAAAGATCCCAATGGTGGAAAAAGTTGATGACGATTGCAACAGATCTCAATATTTGAACCAGCGGATGAAGAGAGCTACGCCTCATAGACAGGTTACAGAAGGCGCCACTCAAAATTATAATAGAGTCAGTGGCAGTCCGTTGCAGTTTAATAAGAGAATGTCTCATCCCACATCTACCGCAGAGGAAGGTCGTGAAATCAAGTGTGGGGTTTCACTTCCCGGCAAGTTGAGATCCAACTTAAACAAATTTACGATATCGGCACTTACTTTAGGGTTGATTTTCTTTCACATTCGAGCAATTCTAGCAAAGCCAAACGTTGATAGGGAATGGATGACGGGAACAGGTTTGGGTAAAATTGAAAGCTTCTAGTCCTGAACTTTTACGTTGTCGGCAAATTTAGACATCAACGTCATCATCATAAAGGAAACGATTAGCAAATCAGAAATTAAATTCTTGGATACGAGATAAAGCCAAAGATGTGCGTATTCCTATGTCTATTTGCTGTCGTTATGCGTGTGTGCGTCTGTGTGTTTGTGTATGTGTGTTTGCGTGTGGCAATGGGCTTTTAATACTGTGTGTGTACGTCATTATATTTATATGTGTGTGTTTGCGTCTCTCTCTCTCTCGCTCTCTCTGTGTCTGTGTGTGTATTATAATAGTTTCCTATATTTTGAAATATCCCTGGCTGAAAATAGAAGAGAAATATGGCTTTACGCCTTTTATATCTGTTTGCTTCGAATCCAAAATTGAAGCCGCCCATTTCTGGTTGAAATAAAATGCGTTCTTTGAACTAAATGCAAAGAGATGTTTTCCAACTGCATGGCATTGTCAGAAAAGAATTCTTTGAAGTTTTCATAAAACTTCGACTTTAAAAGAATCTTCATCCAAACACCAAATTAGATTTTCTTGACAAACAAAACGTTTTAACTTGTAGTAAATTTTGCATATATTGTTTTTATTCTCCTTTGCATATGTCCTCGAACGTCAGACACTTGGGTGGCTGATAGGTCTCATAATTCTAGAGATAGTCGGTGAGCTTCGCTAGGTCCTTCAAATGCCAAATTAATGATTCCACGTAGGATTATCGATTAGTATCTTGATAGTTTTTTTCAAGGCTTATCTAAAGGCAATTTTCCTTATTTAACTCTGCTTATTTACTGCCTATGTTATGTGAGCAAGATATGAGTGGATACTGTATTAATACCAGCAGTGTAGACTTACAGAATTTGTTTGTTTCTTAGGATTTACGGGAGTAGATCGTCAAGACAAACAATGTCGATACATTTCTCGTTTCTGTATACGAACATGCTTTACTAGGCTATAATCATCTCTCATCAAACAAGTAGTAATAAATGCTTATCTGGCTCCTCTCTTTCGAATAGTGTCAAATGCAATTCTGAGTTCATTCCTCGAGTTAGGAAAATCTGCTCAATAATGCTCATTATCTGCTACAAATCTAAGACAGTTAATCCCAAATGTTGAGATAAATATGTATTTTACATATTGAAAAAGTACATCACAGAAGAAAATGGTGGTATTCAGGCGAGAAATTCGCACACGAAGACTTGGTGCAAAACGATCTTCCGGCTTGCTTACAGTTTCAACACTTGTTTACTTCGAAAGGCAGCAATATATTAGTGGTTGCTATCTAGGTAGGATGGGTTTGAAAATGTTTCAGGTCAATAAAATTTGTAGAAGTGTTTTGCCCATGTAACCGTTTCGATCTGTTCATTATCTATCTATCTATCTATCTATCTATCTATCTATCTATCTATCTATCTATCTCAGCCTCTTCATATCTATCTATCTATCTATCTATCTATGCCTCTTCATATCATCTATCTATCTATCTATCTATCTATCTATCTATCTATCTATCTATCTATCTCAGCCTCTTCATATCATCTATCTATCTATCTATCTATCTATCTATCCATCTATCTCAGCCTCTTCATATCTATCTATCTATCTATCTATTATCTATCTATCTATCTATCTATCTATCCCATCTCACATCTATCCATCCATCCATCTATCTATCTATCCATCTATCTATCTATCCCAGCCCTCTTCATCCATCCATCTATCTCCATCTATCTATCTATCCATCTATCTATCTATCTATCATCCATCCATCCATCTATCCATCTATCTCAGCCCTTCACATCTATCCATCCATCTATCCATCTATCCATCTATCCATCTATCCATCTATCTCAGCCCTTTCATATCCATCTATCCATATCCATTCATCCATCTATCCCAGCCTCTTCATATCTATCCATCCATCCATCCATCCATCCATCTATCCCAGCCTCTTCCATCACATCTATCATCCATCTATCTATCCATCTATCCATCTATCCATCCAGCCTCTTCATATCTATCTATCTATCATCCATCTATCTATCTATCCATCTATCTATCTCAGCCCTCTTATCCATCTATCTATCTATCCATCCATCTATCCATCTATCTATCTATCTCAGCCTCTTCATATCTATCTATTCATCTATCTATCTATCTATCTATCTATCTATCTATCTATCTATCTCAGCCTCTTCATATCTATCTATCTATCTATCTATCTATCTATCTATCTATCTATCTATCTATCTCAGCCTCTTCATATCTATCTATCTATCTATCTATCTATCTATCTATCTATCTATCTATCTCAGCCTCTTCATATCTATCTATCTATCTATCTATCTATCTATCTCAGCCTCTTCATATCTATCTATCTATCTATCTATCTATCTATCTATCTATCTCAGCCTCTTCATATCTATCTATCTATCTATCTATCTATCTATCTATCTATCTATCTATCTATCTCGACCATTTTATGTCTAAGTCTGTTCATCTCTGTCTTGATATTTTTATATCGATCTATGAGGGTGGATTGAAAAGTTCATAGGCTGACTATGAAGGAGTGATGCTAGAACTGTGAAATCTTGCATGCATTCATTTCAACTCTTCTTATTAATAACTGGATTGTTCTGAAAAGTTTATTGGCTGACTATGAAGGAGTGATATATATATATATATATATATATATATATATATATTCAATTAGGTTTAGTTATATAATTTAGACGTATTATGTCTATTTTATTTTAAATAAATGGCTGTAAAAAATTGATAGAAAAATTCCAAAAGTGTCTTTCAAATATTTTTATTTTCGCAAGTACTTTCAATCCAATCTGAGACCATCTTCAGGGTCTGCATATCTATGGATGTATTATGCGTTAACACTGTAAATTGAAAATATATTTTCATCGCTATGCAAGACATAAGTAAAAATTCATGAGTGCTTCATCAAGATTATAAGCAAAAACTTCAAATTCTGAAAGCCATTTATTTAAGGCAATTGCGGCAAAAAAAAAAACTCAACAACGAGTATAGCAACAAAATTCTTAAATGCTTTTAACAGCGGTATTAGATAAAAAAAATGCTAAATTAAAATGACACAATTAAAATATATTTAGCGGTGAAAAAATATTTTGAATTTATGGTGTTCACGCATAACACATTTCTAAATATGCAATGCCAGGATCAGATGACATTGAAAGTACTTGGGAAAATAAAAATTATTTGAAATCATTCTTGATCAATTTTTTACTGTCACCAAGAAATTAATTCTTCTCATTGAAAAGATTAAAACTAAAATAAATATTAAAATATTGTGACTATATATATATATATATATATGAATATGAAAGTGAACATTTAAGTCAACACTTAGATGCGACAGGCTGTTTCATGCTAGACGTAATCGTCGGGCCTCCTTCTTTTATATATATATATATATATATATATATATATATATATATATTAAATCCCCACATTAAACCTTATATATATATATATATATATATATATATATATATATATATATATATATATATATGAAAATATATAGAAAATAGGAAGGAACTGGTTAGGTAAATAATCCAAAGTTCCTTAGTATTTTAGTTATTATTTTAAAAATAGTGCTCGATACAAAAGTAGAGCATAAATATAATTATTTATTTAAAATATGATTTCAACTCGCGACATAAGAGGTCTCATGTTTCAAAACAAGAGCCGAAAACTTCAATATAATTATTTGAATTATATTGAATTAAAGTAAGCTCTGTTTCATCTTCAAGCGAAATTTTTTTTTTTTTTTGGAATAACTTATTTCTGAAATTTACGCGTTTTAATAATTGAAATCAAAATTTCCATGGTAACAGCTAGGGCGAATTGTTTAAATTGGGTAGGCGTGTGTTGGGTGTTAATAATAAGTATCAGTATAGAGTTACTTTTATAGATGTCAAGTCAGGGAAAGGTGGGGGTGTCTAAATTTGGAGCGGACGATCTATTAACCCTAGTCTGGTATGCTTGTCTATGGAGATTTATTTATTTTTTTATTTTATTTTTTATGAAAGGTATTTGTGCATATAAAAAAAACTGCCGTAACGTTTGTTTTTTGACGACTTCATAAAGGGTTATCTTTTTTGTAGGGCATTAAACTATTTATTTGGGCTATGGATTATGAAAGTTATTATATTGTATGCTTGTTCTTAGCTAATTATTCAAACCATGAATCTGATGATTGGGCTATGGATTAATCAAGTTATTATATTGTATGCTTTTTTTAGCTAATTATTCAAACCATGAATCTGATGATGTCGACAAAAACCGTTAACTCATGTCTATTGTTTAATAGATTATTATTATTTAGAAGCTTAATAATGTGAAATTTCTCATGGAGGCACAAAGGGCATGGGTCATCCCAAGTTTTACATGTTCTAGCCTTGTTTATAATTTTCCATTTTACTTTTAGGTGTCCTATTTGTTTCCTTCAGATGCCAAAAATATTTAGATAGGGAAGTCTGATTTTTTTTTATTTATATTATTGAAAGAGCACTTATGCTGCCTCCATCTATCTTTAAAATCATTCTTCGTGGACCAATGTATATCATATTAGTGCTAGGACTCTCAGTGGATGATATAGTACATTGGCATACCACAGATTTAATGCAGCATTTATTTTCTAATGGGCAGTCTTCTAGGTTTCTACAATTACACATTTTTTCCCTTTTATTGTCTGATTTAAGTGCAGGGTTTTTATTAATACTATTCAGGCATGGGGGTTTGTTCAAGATCATATTATTGTGTTTTTTTATTATACGTTCAAGATTATATATATATATATATATATATATATATATATATATGGTTAGAACTGTGTAGCGTAAAAAAACATATTTTAAATCAATTAATTTATAATATTAATGCTCTCTAAATTTACATGGAGCATTGTTTTGTAAAAATAAAAAATATCTATAAGAACACCGGATTATATATCTTACTCTCTCTCTCTCTCTCTCTCTCTCTCTCTCTCTCTATATATATATATATATATATATATATATATATATATATTTATATATATATATATATTAAATAAAACAGACCACTTTAAGGTTCCATGTAATAAATTATTTCACCACAGCCCTTTTAAAAGAACTGCGGATCATCAGACTTTACTTCCAAACAAAAAATGAAAAGAAATTTTCCACATTTTTTACGGGCCGTATTAAACATATGTAAATTAACGAAGTGAGGAAGTGAGTGGGGAGAGAGAAGACATGAGTGAGTTTAGCAGATATTGACACATTTAAACGGTTAACTTAACGGAAGTTATATATTGATATCGAAGGGGTAGAGAAGAAAAAAAGAAAAAAAGCTCTCTGGATTTTATCCTCCTTAGGTTTACCCATACGGATTACCTAGTTTTTCATAAACTATATATATGTAAGGTTGAATGTGTGGTTGGTTTAATTGATAATGTGTCGAAATTTGTTATCGGTCAGGTGAATTCGAGTTCCCGTTGGGTTCAATATATCTACGCGTAAATAACGTTAGAAAAGTTATGAAGCCACCTTCTTCTACTCCAGCTATGAGTTAATTATTAAGGCATGTGTCGCTAAAACATTATCAGCTAAAAAAACATTGCAGTCTAAAAATAATTTCTGGATTTAAGTAATCTGCATAGTGTTGATAAGCCAGAGAAGACGAATCAATCATTTTTGTAAAATCTATCTATTTCAGCCTCTTCATATCTATCTATCTATCTATCTATCTATCTATCTATCTATCTATCTCAGTCTGTTCCTTATCTATCTATGTATTTATCTATCTAGGTGGCTATCTCAGTCTGTTTATATCTATCTATCTATCTATCTAGCTAGCTAGCTAGCTAGCTAGCTAGCTGTTTCTCTGTTTCTATGTATTTATCTAGCTAGCTAGCTAGCTAGCTGTTTCTGTCTGTCTTACACCCACTCCATATCTATCTATCTATCTATCTATCTATCTATCTATCTATCTATCTATCTATCTATCTATCACACTGTGTCCTATTTATCTCAGCCGCTTCATATCTCTCTCTATCTCTGTCTCAGCTTTTTCATATCTATCTATCTTTTATGTACACAACTTCACACACACACATACACACACACATATATATATTCAAACAGGTTTGGTTAAATAATTTAGACATACTATGTTTATTTTTGCTTTAGCCAAACCTGTTTGAATGAAAATGTGCTCCCTAAATATACAAATACATATTCATATATACATTTATGTTTGTATATTATTGTCTTTATATATACATATTCCTGTGCGTGCGTGTGTGTCTGAGGTGTAAATGTTTGTATGAGATGATATAAGTTTTACGGACTTAATAACTTGACGTACAATAGAGTTAATGATTGCAACAGAAAATTTCCCAGGTTCGCCGAAGCAGACACAATTCAAATGAACCTTTCTATTGTATTGTTAACGACGCCAGAATCAAATGTTTTCCATAATAACGACAAAATGAAACTGTTTAGTATTGTTGCAGTTTGGCCGTGTCGCCATTTTGTTCCGCTTGTACATAACGAGCATGTCAAAAGTCCACACCGATTGTTTTCTCTTTGTAAGGCTCTAATTATTTCATTCAAACACTTACTGAATGCGTTTGTTTGTAGATTGCTTTTGTCCAGTTCCGACATAAGTTCTCCGTTTCGACGGCTACCAATGAACATAAAAAAAAGGATTGCCAATAAAGCATTTTTCGTGTTGCTGTGGTTAGCGTGTTTCTTTCAAAGAACCTTTTCAAAACGTTCGCTTCTCAGTAGATGTAACGCTATATTTTTTTTAATCAATTCACCCCAAGCAAGGTGATAATGTCACTGGGACGCAATGGATTACTGCGCGTGAAAGTGAATGAGAACACTTTATTGAGAAGAAGTTAGGAAAAGGGACAATAAATAAACAGTGTTTTTAGGCCGACAAAAGATAGAGATTGGCGATACATTTAAATTTTTTAACATTGTAGTGTGTAGGGAAATAATAACAGGTGAGAAGGGTGAGAAGAGTGTCTACTACATCGTTAGTCCTACAGTAAAATGATGAGACCTAATTGCCAATCAAGTAGTACGCTTCAATTCCTGCAGTCGAGGCACCAAGAAGAAAATCTTATCAGAACAATTGACATAAAAATATTTGTAGAAAAAGCAGATATAAATCATATCACATCGGTGTCGTTGTCTTCTTATTCTCCCCCTCTTCTTTTTTCTTCCTTTTATTCTCCTCCTCCTTTTTTATTGTTCTTCATCCATTTCTCCTCCTCCTACTTCTCCCTCTTCTTCTTCCACTCCTTCTCCCTCTTCTTCTTCTTCTTGCTCTTTTTCTTATCTTTCTTCTGCGTCTTCTTCCCCTCTTCCTTCTTCTTACTCTTCTTCTTCTCGCTCTCCTCCTCCTGTCTCTTCTTTCCTCTTCCCCTTTTTACCCTTCCTCTTCTTCTCCACCCTCTTCTTCTTCCCTCTTCCTCCTCATTTTCTTCTACTAATACTTCTTTTTTGTTTTTCCTCCTCTACTTCTTCTTCTTCTTCTTCTTCTCCTCCCTCTTCTTCTTCTCTCTTCCTCCTCCTCTTCATCTTCTTTCTATTTACCGTTTCAATCCTGAACTTTTTTCTCCTTTTATTCCAGGTATTTTCTCTGATATCAATTTCCTTTCGATTTTTCCTTATACTGGTATATTACCTTAGTTGTTTGCCTATCTAATTGTCCCCTTGTGTTTCCCTTGATATCCCACCCACAAAGTGGTTGTTGTAGGATAGCTACGGACGATAATGGGTATGACCCCATTCATATAAATAGAGTAGTAAATACTGTATGTTGGTCAGCAGTGGGAGATTCGTCTCCAGCTGTGCTGGTCAAACTCTCTGCCTCCGAGCAGAGAAGATTCCCAGACGAGGCTATGTCAAAGTGGGGAGTTTCGTCTCAAGAAACAGCTACCCGACCTCGTTTTATACGGGGATGTTTTGCCGAACCTACGATCTCGGATACGCCACATTAAATTCGGCCTTGTGCCACATCTGATCGCGTGGGTGGGGTGATAGATATCCATCAGTTAGAGCTTCATTGTGGAATTCACTTGACTCACTTCTAGCAGTTGACTACGCGCCGCTGGCGAATCTTATATGTGTTGTTCTTGTCCTAAGTATTATCGTTCATTACCAACCTTCGTTTGATTATTCTATTCAGTAACCTTTCCGAGGTTACGACATTTTGGCGACGAAGATTAGCCCAAAATATAACAGTGACCATAGGATTGCATCTTTTAATAATCGAACACTTTAGCGACGTTTTGTGAAAGGTCAACGCGAACCACAGCAACACGAAAATTCTTTATAGACGCCATCTGTTTTTGCTATGTCCTTTCAAGATGTAGTTGACCGTGGCTCTCCATAGCGTTCATTTTCTTTACTATCAGTTAATTGGGAAAGACTGTTATCACCTATAGTCTTCATTAAAACTCTAGTGATGTTATTTAGCGTCAACTGAGGCTGAAATTATTGATTGCCATTCATTTAAAAATAAAAATAAAAAATCGAACAAAAATCAGTCAGTACAAATAAACACAGAATATTTAGCTTACTCTAAATCCTCGGATAGATATATGTCGCTTTTTTTGGAGGGTTGGGGGTAATATAGTTCCAAAACTGACCTTTCTTTGTTAGTTTGTTACCGAAGACAGCAAGACAAGGAGACGCGCGATCGCTTGCACTTTCGTGAGTCCATTCATTGAAAATGTGACCACTCATCAAAATGCGCGATCAAAGACAAAATTTCGGAGAATTGAGACATGTCAAGATCGATTGTAATTAGAAAATTATCATTTAATTAATTAGTAAATCAATTCTTTTCATTTTATATCAACTTTTGTAATTTGTAATTTTTCATTTGTCATCTAAATGTTCCTCTTTTACTTAGAACAGAGAAGAAGAAGAAGAAGCAGAAGAAGTCGGCAGAGAAGAAGAAAAGGAAGAAGAAGAAAAAGGGTTAGGAGGAGAAGAAGAAGACGGAAGAGAAGAAGAAAATGAAGTGAAGAAGAAGAAGAAGGATGAGGAGGAGTAGAAGAAGACGGAAGAAGAAGAAGAAGAAGAAGAAGAAGAAGAAGAAGAAGAAGAAGAAGACGAGGAAGAAGAAGAAGAAGAAGAAGTCGAGGGGGAAAGAAGAAAAGGGTGAGGAGGAGAAGAAGACGGAAGAGAAGAAAATGAAGTGAAGAAGAAGAAGAAGAAGAAGAAGAAGAAGAAGAAGAAGAAGAAGAAGAAGAAGAAGAATGAGGAAGAGTAGAAGACGGAAGAAAAAGACGGAAGAAAAAGAAGAAGAAGGATGTGGAGGAAGAGAAGAAGAAGATTTAGATTATAAGAATCTTTGTCTTTTTTGAAGATAATGATTTAGGGATATATCGATCAATAGATAGATAGATAATAGCGGAGAAGAAGAAGAAAAAGGATGTGGAAGAAAAGAAGAAGAAGACGAAAAAGAAGAAGAAATAGAAGAAGGACACCACACCGTCGTAACGTAGCTTCCCTCTGTCTTTTCTAAAATATTTTCATGGCAATTGTTCTGATGAACTTTTTTCCTTGGTGACTCGACTTCATGAACTGAAACGTGCTACTAGATTGGCAATTAGGTCTTGCCTTTTTTACTGTATGACTAACGAGATGCAATCTTATCAAGAGATCCGCATGATACATTATTTGACAGCAAAAATATGCAAATAGAACAACCCTATCAAAATATATATGAGAAATCAAAAAACAAAACCAAATTCATAAAAAATAACATGGATTAGAAAACAGAGATTATCATCTTTCCAGATAAAGAGAAAATCCTAACACATTCAGACTCAATCGACGTTAAATAATATCACTACAATACAGACGATAGGAAAAATCCCGCTCTCTTTACCAAGATAAGTAATGTCAATTAACTGATAGCAAAGAAAAGAAATATATACAGATCCATGATTGTTTATATCCAGAAACGAAGTAGCAATAAAAAAAATGAGCGAAAGACCAAAAACTCCTTGTAGCATCAAAGATGAACTGGAGGCAAGGATTATGACAACATTCACTTAAACAAGGAGACTGTTCGGAAGAGTTGCAGGAGATTCAGAAGTCGTGTGGAGGCCATGGTTGAAGCCAATGGCGATTTTATTGAATACATTTACTTAAAAAAAAAATTCATTATTAAAATGAAATATGAACTTATCTGTGCTTGTTTTACGAATCTTTGATAATATGTTAGTATCTACTTTCCGAATTAAATAAACGTATACTCAGAAACTGTTTTTTAATGCACATTAATCCAATGATAAATCTGGGTACAAATAAATCTGTTAGTAGGAAAGAAACAAATCTCACCTTGAACGGCCACACATCTAGATCTGTTTTTTTTTTATTAAAGCGGGTGTCACAAAAGGCTTTTTACATTAATGCGGGTGGCACAAAAGGCTTTTTACATAAATGCGGGTGTCACAAAAGGCTTTTTACATTAATGCGGGTAGCACAAAAGGCTTTTTTCATTAATGCGGGTGTCACAAAAGGCTTTTTACATTAATGAGAGTGTCCCAAAAGGCTTTATCTTTGCATCTCCGTTGTTCTTAATTGTCACTAACAACGTGTCCAATGCCACCGTTCACAACTCGGTATCTATGCTGATAATACAAACTATTTACTCTTTTAATTTCTCATCGGATTAATAAAGTAAACTTGGCAGTTGATCATTAAAATGACCCAAAATCTGACTTGCTTTGTTGATCTGAACTCCTCCAAAACGAAGCGTTTTTGCAGTCCATGGCTGATGCTAACCTCCGGCAGAGTTACTCGTTGCACCTTTGCCGACTAACGTTTTCTTCTGACAGAAACTGGAAAGATTATATTAAATCAATTGCTAGATTTGCTGCTAATAAATTTGGTCCATTCTATTGTGATAGACAATTTTTTCTCGCCAGAATATATCTTAAATATTTATATATCTACTATTTCGCCATCTATTGACTACTGTTGTTCCGTCTGGTTTATTTATTCTGATATGTATTTTGAGATCCTTGATAATCTACAAAGATGAAATTGCAATGTTATTCGTCCTGCTCTGGCATGTCGGCTCCAATCACTTTCTTACTGCGATGACGTGGCTACCCTGTGCCTTTCCTATAAATATTTTCATGGTAATTGTTCTGACGAGCTTTCCTATTTGATACCTAGACTTCACGAATTTAAGTGCAGTACTAGATTAGCGGCTAGGTCTCATCATTTTACAGTTGAAATGCCTAGATGTAACTTTAACTTTTAACTTCTTTTCACTTCTTGCATTCCAGTCAACTTCGATCTTTAAAAAATTAAATGAAATTCCTTTTCTTTTATTGTTGTCTCTCCTAAATCATATTTTTATTTGTGTCATATTCCTTCACACTAAATGCAGGCCAACAGTTAAGTCTTATTGAACATATGATATCCAAGGGTTTTGTTTGGTTGAAAACTCTTGGAACGTAATTTGGTAATTATAGCCGAACACACTATCACGAGACCCGTAACATGTTAGCTTCATAGGAACTTCACATGTAGGGCAGGAAGAGTGCGTGTATCTAGGGCAAGGGTGTCTGACAGAGATTATCATTCTTCAATCTTTTTATTATTGTAAATATTCAAATATTTAAAATTTTAATTAATAGACTAATGTTAGGCAAATTTTTCTACTATTGTCATTAAACTAATAAGTAAATGTGGTTCATTGGATAACGAACTTTTCAGTCCGACATTCAGTGTAAAATATATATGACATTTCATTGTCATGGTAGAGGGCTTGCATGTTCCAGTGATCCCAAGAGCTAAGACCCCAACGGTGGAATGGTCAAAATATCTACACGATCTCAACGGCCAAAGCGGCGGAAGAGGGCAGCGCCAGACGCACTGGCGTAACGAAGGCGGACCTTGACAGACCAAAGCCTCCGATGCAACCAGGTTTATCAGATCACGCCAGACACAATCCCTTTTAAGCCTCGAGGCTGGCGCTTCAGGCCAAGTGTGAGGACTTCTCCACCAAAAGCAAATTCACGTGAATGGTTTCATCCATCTCCTCCACACGGGGAAAGAAAGGGAATAGGGAAAACGGATGACGATCCCGATGATCGGATGGGAGCGGGTGCTGACAACAATAAGTCTAATGTATTCTCTTCCATAAACTGTCATTATACATGCTTATCATTAGCTGAAGATCCTTCTAGAAAACGTCGTGTGTCATCAGGCAACAACAGCTTTTGGAACATAACCATAATTTTGGCCGAATGAACATGACGGTCGTAAATTTCAATACATTGTCCAGTTAATGAAAGCTTTCGTTAATTAGTCATAATTTTTATTACTTCATTAGGAGGGTGGCGTTGTTGACCATATGTTCAAAAACTCCTAGTATTCGAAAAACAAACGAAACAAATACAGTTATCCGTTACCAGGAGGGAGCCGACTCCGCCCTGATCGATGAAATACCGGTTATTGATAAAAGTTTATTGAATTTTATCAATAATGGCAATTTTTTCTTTGTAATTTTCAATTTTCATCTAAATGTTCTTTTTTTACTTAGAAAAGAGAAGAAGAAGAAGAAGGATGAGGATGAAAAGAAGAATGAGGAGGGAGGAGAAGAAGACGGAAGAGAAGAAGAAAAAGAAGTCGAGGGGGGAAAGAAAAAAAGGATGAGGAGGAGGTGAAGAAGAAGGAAGAGAAAAGAAGAAGGAAGAGAAGAAGGAAGAGAAGAAGGAAAAGAAAAAAGAGAAGAAAGAGAAGAAGGAAAAGAAGATTGAAGAGAAAAAGGAGAAGGAAGAGAAGAAGAAAAAAAATCGAGGGGGAAAAGAAGAAAAAGGATGAGGAGGAGGTGAAGAAGAAGAAGAAGAAGAAGAAGAAGGAAGAGAAAAAGAAGAAGGAAGAGAAGAAGGAAGAGAAGAAGAAGAAGGAAGAGATGAAGGAAGAGAAAAAGGAGAAGGCAGAGAAGAAGAAAGAGAAAAAGTAGAAGGAAGAGAAGAAGAAGAATGAAGAGAAGAAGAAAAAGAATTTGAGGAGGAAAAGAAGAAAAAGGATGAGATTTTTTTTCTTTTTTGAAGGTGATTTAGTGTTATATCAATCAATAGATAGATTTAGTGATATATCGATCAATAGATAGATAGTGTCGGAGAAGAAGAAGAAGAAAAAGGATGTGGAAGAAAAGAAGAAGAAGACGAAAAAGAAGAAATAGAAGAAGGTCATCACACCATCGTGTCGTAGATTCCCTCTGTCTTTTCTAATAATATTTTCATGGCAATTTTTCTGATGAATTTTCTTCCTTTGTACTTCGACTGCAATTAGTCTGAAAAGGTGTACGAAAAAATATTGATGATAATGTTCATACAAAAGACTGATTTTTTTTTTCATTTTATCCCTGATTCTAAAAAACATCACTTTCTTTTTCAGGATGCAATCTTTGTTGATTAACTTTTAATTAGAGAGTTTACAATTGTTCGGAAGTTATGTAAAATATTTCATTTTTATTAAGAACTGTTCTAACAGAGAACGCAAGACGAGACACCGAAATGAGAAAGCGAATTGGAATAGTGAAAGATGCCTTCCAAAAGCTAAGCAAAGTATTAAGAAACAGGAAAATTTCGTTAGAAAGTTAGAAAAGATTCATTAGTTTTCTACAGCTTATCAACCCTTTGCAGGTTATTTAAAGCCAGAAAATGTTTTTAGATTGTTAGAATCTTTTTTCTTTTTTGAAGATGATAATGATTTAGGTGAAATATCGATCAATAGATAGATAGATACATAGATAGATAGATAGATAGATA